ACTGCATGGATCTAGAAGCAGCTTTCCTTTTTCTTCCCAATTTCAAGTCCTTCTCAATCAGAATTCCAACACTGCAATTACACAGTTATAAGAAAGCTGCAGACCTCATATCTCATTTCTGTGCTGGCTGTAAGAAGAATTGGATCTTTCCCTATGCACCAGTTTCACTGAGACTAGGAACCAACAACTGTCCTACAGGCTGTCCCAGGTCTAGCCCCCCTCACCCCTGGCCTTGGAGTCCAGCCCTTCACAGCTTTCTACCTCTTCTGGGTTAACTTGATCTTTCATAGGATAAATCCCAAACTCTCCAGGTCCCTATGTGCCTCCAAAGCTCTACTCTAGGCCTGCATCCCTTCCCAGCTTATCCCACCCTAAGGTATATCTCAAGAAGCAACTTTAAGCCTTTATTGTCTGCTGAATGAAGGATTCCCTTCAGTAGTCAAAAAAGTAGAAACCTGAGGGACAGCAGTTGATGTGGACTTTTTATTTAGAGACAGTTGAATGTTTTTCTGTGTGTTCCTGGCACTGTTGCCTCCTGCATAGGATGCTCAGAGATCCTCCGTTGTACATGGGCGGTTTTGAAGGTGTGCCTGTAAGTATTTGCAAGGAATAGAGAAGGTAAGTTGTGAAAATCTGATGGCCAGTAGTATTGATGAGGTTTTATCTTTTTCATCATGGTCCTGCCTCCCAGTTTGGTACTCAGAATTTAGTTAAATTAAAGTGTTTTGGGAACCTTTTTTTTTTTTCTTTGTGTAAGATGTGCTGCTTTTGTTAATATACTGGAAAGAGCACCTGGACATCCTGTGTCCCAGTCTCCCACAGCTGTGTCAGTTGGATAACACCACCGTAACAGGCCATTTCAGCCTCCCAACAGTTGTCCTTGCCGTTCTGTTGCACAAAATGGTGCTTTTCACCCTTCATCAGATGTGGAGACGTGCGTGTTACAGCACTACAGTAAAAAGTAAGACAGTTTGTTTTCTTAACCTTTGTCTATCTGTATTTCAAAACTCACAATTTATCTTGTAACTTCATCAGGAGGCTGGGATGTTTCTAAGGCAGTGTAAGCAGAGATACCACATAGCAGAGTTTGTTGGGAGAGCGTGACTAATGGGTATCAGAAGATCCACCATGACTGTGGTTTTAACTCTCAAATTTCCAGTGGGAACTTCGTGAACAGAAAGCTGCCATCACCTTCCAGGCTATGTCCTTCCCCTTGGTGTGCTGTGACCTCTCTGACACAGGGCTCAGCACACACCCCACTAGGTCCTGTTCCAGCCAGCTCCTAGTTTTCCTCCCTCAGCCATGTCCCTGCTTCAGCTCAGGTGCTTCTGTCCCACAGTGACAGACACAGCAGAGAGCTGCAGTGCAGGTGTGTAACTGGAGGTATCTGTTAAATCTTTGCAAAGGAACATATAAAAGTGAGCATTATAATGGGTGCTATGCCAGAATGCATTTTTACTTTTGCTTTCAATAGCCCCAAATGGATTTAGTAATGTTTCCTTTCTGGTATTATTTTGGTGGTTCTTTTTTTACCTTGTCTATGCTACATTACTACATTCTATGAATATATGAATTCAGTCTCCAAAGCTGAACATGCACACATAGCAGTAGTGGGAGAGTTGGGGTTTTTTTATTTGGATGTGTGTGTTGGATTTAAAGTATCCAGTCTTCTGGTCTTGAAGACATTTGGGATGAGATTCTTTCTTCCTCTGCTGTTCATTCTTTGTTCTTGCTGTTCTGTTCAGCAAGTTGACAATCTGGTGTTGATCGGGGGTTTTAGGTGCAGCAGGGGTACAGCTAATAAGAAAATAATGAGTTGGTGTGTATTTCTGTGCTGTGCTGCTCCCTACTGAATTGTCTGACTACCAAATACATTAAGGAGTTAACAACTGAGAGTTGTTCTCCTGGAGGAGTGCTGATGGAGCCCGGTGGTTTTACAGCTGAAGAGCAGGGATTTAGAACAAGCTGTGCCAGCCTAAGAAGCTTCTCTCTCTATTCTTATCATAGATTGTGATAAAAATTATCATAAATTATCACAAATTAGTTATGCTAAGGTGATACTCAGCAAAAGACAGCTAGCAGTGAGCCCAGCAGGGTCCTTAGATGGTTAATGTCAGGGTAAAGAGAAGGAAAGGTGATTTTCTGCTGCATACTCCAGGAGCCCTTTCTGTGCAGGAAACAATCCCATGGTCATAGTTAACTGTCAGTAATTTACCGTATTTGGATTCCCAAAACAAAATGCAATGTTTAGTTCAGCTTTGAAGGGCAAACAGTTCCTTATGGAGCTTAATTGCTTTGTTTACATGTAGCTAGTTACTTATCATGTGGCAAGAACAATAGACTGAGTGCCTCGCTTAACCCATGATCAGAATGAGATAAAACACCAAAGACAGCGAGGCTGTATTTCTTAAACAGACCACAGGTCAGATACAGCCTCCTTGGCTGGCTGTCTCCTAGAAAACCTAGTGCCTGGCATACCCTTTGTTTCCACAGCAGCTGTGTGACTTTGCCATATGTCCTTACTGTCTGATTTTCAGCTAAAAGCAAGTGATGTTTCTTGAGTCTCTTTATTTCACGTGGACCAGGCACCTTCCTGAGAGCTGTGTGACTCACTGACCATTCCTGGCACAGTGCATGCACTGAACATCAGACCATCATCACACCAGGCTTTGACCTCACGTTACCCCACAGCTCAACCTGGACCATGCCCAGTTTGCAACAGGGGCGGCTGCGTTTCCTCCTCCCTGTAAAGAGGCAGGGCAGGGCCTTGGGGAAGCGTGAGCCTGGATTTCTCAACCAGCCACACCTGTCTTGTGGGATGAGGCGAAAAATGGAGTTTACTTAGCTAAGCCTGATCTCTACCAGTCAGTCATGCCTGCTGCTGACAGGAGGCCTTTTAACAAGCGTGCTTCAGCCATGCCAGAACACTTTTCTTGTTGTCACACAGCTCTGCAGCCACAGGCAGCACCCCGTGATCCAGGGTGACAGGAGTGCATAACCCAACACGTGCTTTCCCTGCCCAGAAGTTGAGAAGTTCATTGTCAGGTCTGCCAGATTAACAGAGACAAAAGAAAATTTTTGGTTGGGACTGCAGCTCTCACACCCTCAAGGAGTCCCTTGCATCTTGGGGGAGCATAGGGCTCACGCCAGGTCTCCCTGCATAATTGAGTTCCTGTGCTCTGAGCAGAGAGGACATTCCAGAGATTTTTATCTGTTTGCTTCTCCATTTCACTGGTGGCTTTTCCCCTCATAACATCTAAATTAAAAGTCAGAAAGTTTGCTGAGAAAGACTCCTAGTTTGTTCCTCAGATAGTTTATTTTGGCAGAAGGGAATTCTCCATTACACCTGCTTGTACCAAAGGAGCAAGGTAGATGTTCTCCAGAAGTTAATTAAGCTTCAGCCATCCCTGCAAACTGGAGAACAAGTTCCTAACATATCTTATTTTGTAAATCTGTGTGCAGCTGGGAATGAGAGGCCTTTGAAAATATTCACAGAAAGTTTAAATGCAGGACAGCACTAGCAAACCAAAAATCTTCTTTATCTTTTTCCATGAGTGAACTATTAACTGGCACAGTTGTGTGCTCAGATCTTAGGAACAGTTTACAGCTGTCACTTGCACTTGAAGGGGTGTAAATGGAGGCTGCGATTCTTTATAGCAGTCATCTCCACAGCTGTTCCTCTTCCCTCTGTAGGCAATCTCTCAATTGCAGAGGGGATGCAAGGCAGAAATATTTCCTCTTTTTGTATGTTTGTGGTACTGAGGAACCAAATCATACAAATACCAAGACCACAGTGACAGTGGTATTATCATTACCTTCCCAAGCCTTTAGACTATGAAAATAAACTTTTAAAGTCTACTGAAGATTTAAGCAGTAAAAGCCCTTACCCCTCCACCACCACCTAAATATATGAGCTGCTTCTAGAGCTGGAGGCCTCCTCAGTAAGACTACCACTTGTTTTGAGCTTATACAAGCATTTACAACTACCATATAAATTGAAATGTTAGCATGTCTGCTCTTGCCTTGCCATTCTTCTGTTTGTGTAACACAGAGCCCAGTAGTCATCACAAAAAAAGAAAACCTTTGGAAATAGGTCTTTGAGGAGGAAGACTTCACACAAGGATCAATCATATTCCTCACAAGAATTCAACATCTGAGTCAGGGATTCCCAGAGACTAACCTGAAAGATGCTAAGTATGTGACACTCAGGAAAATTTTCAAATTGTGGCTTTTCTGCACTGTCCTGCTGATTCTTTTTGGGGGTTTTTTTGTTTTGGTTTGGTTTTTTGGTTTTTTGGTTTTTTTTTCTTTTTTTTGGTCATGCAGCACCTAGCTTGATGTCCCACCCATGAGGTTGCCCTCCATGAGCAAAACTCAGGAAACTCCTGAGTTCATCATCCAAGAAAACCTTTTTTTTTGAATAGAGACTGAAAAAGATAATCTATTTTGTCAAGTGTTTCCACACCTCTGTAAACATTCAGTCTCTTCCTCTGGATGATGTCATGCATATATTCATCAAAGTTCTTACTTTGCTTTGAGACCACATTTGCAGCAAAACAGTAGTATATGCAATATAAAAAGGTTTTGGGTGAGATCCAGTACAAGCATCTCATGGTGAAATCATTCTTAATATTATTTAACAGCTATGGTTCAGACAGTGGTGTCTGATCTAGAGAAACGGGTCACAAATACACCTTCCTTTAGACACTCAAGTAAATGGCACATGTGAGCCTTGGATTTTACATGAATGTAGAGCAAGGAGGACACAGATCATAATTTGTCTCTCATGTTGTCAAGCACATTTCTCCTCCATTTTTTGACAGTGGATTGTTGATAGTGAGAGCTGCTAAACAGGTATGAGTTCATCACACTCCTTACCAAAGACACCGTGCCTGGAAACTCTTACCTCTCTCACTGGAAGTAGAAAGAAGGAAAGTTGGAAGTCTCTGGCTTAAGGAAAACCATTTGGTACAACAGAAGTTAAGTGAAGATTAGCTAACCTGCTGGAGCATCACAGGCTGGAGACCTGAATGTTCTGGCAGATGGCGGCGTCATTTTGGCAATGGCGCAGGTGGCAGTCCTGCAAAGTCCTCATGGTCTTTATCACGTAGTAGGAAGTGGCATTGCTGTCCTGGATGCAAACATCCTAGAAAAGAAGTGGTTGGTTAGTGACTCCATAGAAATAAATTCTTGGACACAGGTGATACCACAAGTATTGGAGTGCCAGATCACGAGTACTGTAGAAGAAGTTAGCGGTGTTGCCAGTGACAGATGTAAAACCTACCAATGATTATGTCTTACTAAACAAAAACCCCAACACCAAACCCAGCAATCTTACAGACTCCTTGCTTTTCAGCTTTCAAAACTCTTCTGGAGAGTTTTTGCAAATGGGTGGTCTAAAACCAAAGCTGATTAAATATCTGTTCTGCCTCCTGTCACCTTGGAAACAGGGAATGCCGACTGTGAAAGCAGTCTGAAGGATCCAGGATGGAAATTCAGATTTTCATGTGCAACAGACTTTTCCCCCTTTTTTATTGTTCAGAAAAATATAAGAGTCCACAGCAAGGTCTGCATTTCCAGCTATGTGCACAGTGTAACAAGTACATTGAGGCACCTTATGGCTGGCAACACCTCATGGTAAATGCTGCCTTAGAACTAGGAGTGCCCATGTCTCTGCTGCTGAAAGTAGGGAAAAAACTTATTTTCACACTCCATAATGCAGAGCATGCACCCACGCAGGTTTAGCTCCTTATTTATTGTAGCCAGTTTATTGTGGGCCATGGTAACTATCTATGTTATATGTCTGTTCTTGCTTGCATCCCTGGGAGATAATGAGATTGTGAAGTGGTTATATTGACAGCAGGGTTTCTTTCCCAAATTCCTTTGCTTCTGTTCTGTTCTTCATGCAGCCCACTGAAATAATATATTTTTATATTGCAGAGTTTTTCCAAGAGATTTTTCTTTTTCATTGGGTACATCCATAAAAAACAAGGAATTCTACCTTGCAATTTTGTTCCCTCAAAACTTCAGTCTACATCCACCCATTTAAGTCATCTTACTTTTGTTCCTAATGTGTCTTAATATCTTCAGGCAACCAAGAAACTGGCCTTTCATCTATCTTGAACTCTTGAGAATTGCTCAACAGTTGCGCAAAATTGCTTTTCCTGCTCCTGCTGTGAAGATATTACCAAATTAGGAGTGTGTTATGGGTTAGGCTTTTCCCAATCGCCAGGGGCTGTGATCTCTTAACCTAAAGATGGAGAGATGTTCCTTGCTGTGCTTGACATAGAGGCCTGAAAGTCCTGTGCTCCTTTAGGAATTTTAGGGTTCTCAGTGTCTTACAGGGACTTTATTTCCCAGCTTTCCTGACACTTAACTGTTTGTGGCCAAGTAAATATTATGGGGTGTGCACAGCCAAAGAGTACAGTACCCCTAAAAGATGGCGGAAAGAAATTGAGCTAACATTAGACCTGATTTTCTTGCTCCTTTGTCGGAGGCCATTATGGACTTAACGGTTTGTGATAAGTAAAATTATTCTCTTCTAATCCTGTTTTTTCACTAAATTTCAAGAGAGATGCCAGGATTACCACCTTGGATTTGGTTTGGGGGTTATAGTCTCAACACTAGTGATTACAATAAACTAGGATCCTCAACTTCGGATCACTGCTTGATGTCCTCTTATCCTGGAAATTAAATTATGCTGATTTAAATGTCTGCATCCGTTGTCTTTCCAAAATGCACAGCTTGGTTTTAAAGATAAATGCTTGCCATTTTGGGACAGACTGTGTGCTAGGTTTAAGTTCACTTAGCGAAGCTTTTTTTATTGGAATGGCTCATGTAACTTGTTAACATGCAAGAAATTATTAAGCTTTCACTTCCTCCACTCCCATTTCCTGTTTGGATGTTGAAAGGAAACCCTGATTTGTGATTAGCCAGCAACCCAGAGTGAACTTAATCCTGGGGGTTTGTGTGGTGCTTGCCTATGCAGATACAGCCTCACTCAAGAGTGGGATTGCTGCAGCTCACGTTTCGTGGGGAGAGCTGTAAACAATCTGCTCTTCTTTCCGTGTATTCATGGCCTGCCTTCTGAGAACAGAGGTGATGCCTGCTCTACCAGAGCTTGGGAGGTGACACTAAAACGTTGGGTGCTACAGTAGAGGAGGGACACATGAGGGTGTTTTTCCAGTCTTGCTTGCCCAGGAGGTGGCACTGTGAAATAGTGGGATTTTTACCTGCAGAGTTTGTTGTCTCACCCGACTGTGATTGTTTGAGACGTGACAGAAGAGTGAAATTCCTTTGTCAGTAAAAACAGACTGACTTTTACTTCTTTTAGGAAGCCTCAGTGCTCTTCTGTGTATCTGCTTTGCACTCCTGCATTTTGCACTCCTGCACTAGGGAACTGACCTTCACACTACTCTTGTGCAGCCAGGATCAGAACTGGGTTTGTGGGTGACATTGTGTGGCCACAAAAGAAGTGGTGATGTCTTTGGAGCATCTTTGCTTCCAAGGCTTTTGTGCAAGTCCGTTGTGTCCCCCTTGATATTTCCCAGACCTACTGACAAAGCAGCCAAAATGAAGAGTTATATACATGTAGTATGTGCTAGAAAACTAGAAGGTTTTGAGGAGTCTCTGTGGGATCTCTCTGTCCTGCATGCATTGTGCTATGCTCCTGTTAGAGTACTGGGTGCTCTGGTTTAGTCTTATATATAACACACAGAGCTTTCTAAAGGGATCTCTGACCCCACCTGCAAGTGCCTGAACTGACTTGTGCTGCCAAATGCAGGCCCACACAGCTGAGATAAATCTAGAAAATCTTCCAGGTCTTTCATTATTATAATGGTGATAAGCTAAGACCATTTTAATTTCTCTTTCCAATAAAAGCCTGAGATTAGGAGCACATATGGATCTGTGGGTAATTCTGATTTTGGAATGGCTATAATACTTAACAAAATCTTAGGAAAGCTTATTAACCTGTATATTTTAATTCTCAGAAAGGTGAATAGGAGTAATGCTTTCATAACACAAGAAAAATAAGAATGTATTTGTGACACAATGTAACAAATATGTTCACAATATATCTTCAAGCTAGAAATGTTATGGGAATGTGAAATACTTTTGTTATTATCAATCAAATATTAAGTAGCCTATATATCTATAACAAAGGCCTCTTAGCAAACACATCCTTTAAAATAGCCTGACCCTTTCCACTTTTTCAGAGACATTAATAGTTTCCTGGCTCAGTGTTTTAGGAAATGTCGTCATAGTCTGGAGGAACCAATAAAAACATAAGTCACCTATTTTGTCTGATCATTTTACGCCAGGATATTTGAGGCTGGAAGCTGTGGAGGGATAGGAGGGGACTGCTTCGTTTGTGTGGGTGGAAGATGTAGAGGATTTAATACTGCTTTAGTGTAACTTTGCATATTAGCACTCTAGAACTGTGTGAAAAATAGCATTTTTGAGTTCATAGACAGAGGCTTTAGATAGTTTTTGTAACTAATTCATTATTTTTTTTCTCCTTCCTGTACCATTTTTTGCTTCAGTGCTTGAGGAAAGGGATGTTGTCTTTGGGGAAGAATATTCTGTTGGTTTTAGGCTTTCATTGTCCTTTAATAAAGAGGTAAGAGCTCTTAAGAAATGGCAGTGCCTTAGAACAAACTTTGGTAGCTGATTATGGCAATATGATTGGTGGGACAATAGCTTATTTGGCATGGTCAAAGGGGACCATTTCCTACAAGCAAAAAATGTAATTGCTTCAATGAAAGAACTACTACTGTATGAAATCTTAGTACAAAGCATCGTTACATGACATTGTGAAAAGCAAACCATGACTGTCTGCAACAGGCATCCGGTGACACTTTGTTCTCCATTATGAATGCCAGCATTTACAGTAGGACAAACCCTGCCATCCTTCCATGGTTTTGATTCTCTCCCTTCTGAAGCAAAGCTTCCAGCAAGTGTGTTAGCCCTGACTGTGATCTCTTGGCTGTGGAGGGCGGACATGCATTGCAGTTTTTCCCCTACTGTGCTGTTGTCTGCTGCAAGCTTCACGCAGCCCCTCAGAGGTAACATCTCTGTTACTGATTTGTGCTTGGTTGCACGGAGCTGGGAAAGGCTGTTCTGACCCCATTTATCCTCTGCCTCTTCCCAGAGTGTCCTCCAGAGAGGACCAAAGTTTTTGCCCGTTTTTGGGAAGTCATACTCTGTGTTTTCTCTTCTGTGTTCAATCAGCGTTGGAGACCAGTGTAATGTTTGTCAGCAGTCTAGAGAAACTGAAGGATAACACTTACTTCATCCTGCATAGCTGTCTTTACAGCAGTGAGCTGCGGCACCAAAAGAGACAGCCACCACCACTCCAAGCTGCACCATAATGCATTATGTGGACTGTTCTCCTCACTTGCCCCCCAAAGCAGAAAAATCAAACATGATTTCTTTTCAGCTTCTGCTGTAGCCCCAAACAGAAGTTATGTGCAGCTGTCAGTGGTTCATTGAGAGTTCAAACCATGTTCAGGCTGCAGTTCAGGGTCTGCAAACCCCCATTAAAATGTGCTTTGGGATTTCAGAAAGATGCAAAAGGAGGGCAAGGGTACCAAAATACCCTGATTAGAGTCCAGTCCAAAGGGGAAATTGCTGCTGATCTAGTGCATTTGTGTTTTATGAATCCAACAAAGTGTTATCTCAAGACGTATACAAGAAGGTGGCAAAGGAGCCCCACAAATGAACCTTGTTAACTCTCACCAGCCATCTGCCCTTTATGTTTTTGTAGGCTTTTTTCTCCACCTTTCAATTTAATGTACTGAATTCTTATTCTTTTTCAAGCTGAGTGTGCATCAGCCCTGTGGCAAAGAGACTGTTACATTCCACCCATGACAGCCACTAGGAGATGTTGCCACAGCAGAGGCGTCCCCTTTGTACCTGTCAGTATGGTTTATTCCTTCTGTGTATGTTTTAGCAGGTCAGGACTAGTCTTGTTACTGTGAACTATGCCGTGGGATACCCCTTTCAAACTCTTTCCTAAGCTGGAGCTGGATCTGTGTGTGTGGAGGTGTCTCTAGAGTGTCAGTATCCCCTAGCACTTGGTGATACCAGGGTCACTGCTCGGTCCCAAAGCACAGCATGTAGGCAGCAGCCAAACTGAGGCAATTT